TCATGCAATGACGACAGACACTAGTGCCATCGAATGAATCGCGCAGGGGATTATATACATCTTCTGGCAAACATGGGATGTGGTGCATTTGACGCATGTGCCGCTTCAGTATCCCGGCCTGGTTAAACTGTCGATGACATTCCGGGCACTCAAGAGAGGGATCCTGAGCATGAGGTTGGGAGGAATCACTCGGCGTGTCTAAGTGGCTCGTGGGATAATCTGGGGTCAATGCAATCACATCGGGAGGTCGGTCATCCATGGCAGATTCGACTGCTTGCTGAATCTTGTGCAGCAACGATTGGCGCAGTCGAAGGTTGTGGCTCTGGAGAATCGCCCAGGGAGAAGGTTGATTCAGTCGACAAAACATGTCCTGTGTGGATTCATGTGTTAAGTGAACAGGGGCCCTGATCATGCGTCGATAGTGCACATTAATGATGCTAACTATCTTACGAAAGCCTTTCTGGGTGATGCCCATTTCATGAATACCATACATGAGCGTTGGCACTATGCATTGATGGTACAATCGAAACCTGATGTCTTGCGGAACACATTGGGCTGTGAGCCACTTCCTCAGGGTCGAAAAACACATGTGAGCGGCCTGTGCACGTCGTGCTACTGTGTCCATTTCCCATGCCCTGTATCCTATAATCACTCCAAGGTACGCCGTTTTCGAAACCATGGGCAGTCGGATCGAGGAGTCAGGCATGGTCAGAAAAGGACCAGCTTTGTTGCGGACAACCCACCGTTTGGTGAATCGGTGTGCCCCTTTGTCCACGGCCCGAAACAAGACAACACTCTTGTCAAGGTTGATGGAGAAGCCATACATGCGAAAGACTCGAAGAATGTGGTCCAGGTCTGACAGGGCAGTGAGGCCATCGGCCAGCTGACTAGTGCGCCATCGCAAGTGCACGTCGTCCGCATAAATTATGACATGTTCGTGAATCCATTGGTACGAGTATCGAGCCGCCAGATCGGTGAGCACCAAATGCATACAAAGTGTCCAAAGGATCGGACCGTCTTTTGATCCCTGACGAATCCCTCGAGTGGCCAAAATCTCACCCACTAACTTTTTATGCGGTATATAGTATTTGTGGGGGGACAACAGTGTGTGAATCATGGTCTGGAGATCCGGGGGCAGTTGCAAGCCTAGAATGGCAAGGCTCACCGTGTTGCGGCTGACCGAATCAAAGGCCTTATTCATGTCTAACGAAACCTGCAGGCCGCCAAACATGCCATCCCTTGAATTATCCTGGCTGTACATGTGACAGTCGTCGCGAACCTGTCTGCAATGATGCGACACTCGAAGCAGACAATCAGCAGTACTCCTATTGGGGAGATAAGCATACAAAGGAAAGCAACGAAGTTTGTCGATGGTGTATTGCAACAGTTGAGTGGTGACAAAACTCGAAGCAACTTTACAGACAGGGTGTTGAAGGCATATCGGCCGAAGTGCTTGCGGTTTCGTGCTGGGCTTTCCCGGTTTGGGAATGAGATGCAGCCATCCAGCCGTCCATTCATCAGGAGCTTGTGGGGGGGAAGCGCTCCACCAGTGAGCCAAGGCGCGATATGTCGAACCAGCAAGTTCAGTGGCTAAAACTTTCCAAACAATGGCTGGGAGACATGGTGGAGCCACGGCTTTGGTGGCAGGCAGGCGCTGTAAGGCTGCATGCACGGTGCTCTCATCGAATGGCAAGACCTGAAGTGCGGGCAGGGCCGTTGGTTGAAAGTCTGGATCATGAAATTGAGTCCCAAAGTATTGAACCAGTTCACTAAGCTCTTGTGGGGGGCTCAATGGTTGTCCATGACCATCAAACATGTGAATTCGCTGGTACCGTTGCTTGGGACAGAGCGTGCGGATTCGTCGAAAGAAGTCAAATGACTGGTGCTTCATGGCCAAGTCAGCACCTTCCCGGAGGAAGTTTTCGAGTTTGGTCCGTTTATTGATCCGGATACTTTCTGATTTGTTTATGCAAAGTACGATAGCGAGTCAATTTGCACCAACCCTGAAACACGGACTTGAGACAACAATTCGGCAAGGCCAGGACAGCCTTCCGTGCTAGCCACATCTGGGCACTGAGTGATCGAAAGACAGGATCCACCTGGGTCTGTCGTTTGACTGACGGGAAACATTGCTTACACAATTGTACAAGACTTCGTTCCAATGCCAGATTATTATCGATCGGTGATGACTGAACTGTTGTGGTAGCAATGGCCTGTCGTGCCTGAGTCAGGAAGGTGTCCCATTGCGGTGTTTGCTGAGTCCAGGCCTGTCGAAGGCGGAACCGGTTGATGCCTTCATGGTGTTTGGGATTGGGAGTTGGGTACCATTTGGACAAATGGAAGCTCAATGGATAGTGGCGTGGGCCTTGATTGCCAAACAAAAAGTCGAAGTCAGGGTGATGCTTCGGTTGCATTCGGCTCCAGGAAATCTGGTCCTTGCGCATCAACACGAAATCGATTCGAGTATTATGATTACCATGCACGAACGTGGGATGGAATACCCTAGTGTGAATAGCTGCCATGCGGTTATCCTGAACTAGTGCACGAAACTGGTCCCGATCAATTTGAGCAGCTTTGGCATACTTGGGATCCTTGGTGAAAATATGCTGACCATCAAAATCAAGTGGTGTGTTATAATCACCGCCTAATACCAGAAGATTCCGTGTTGGGGTATGGTTAATGCAATTACGAAGGCAATCCCAAACTCTTTGGCGTTTGTTCAACAATTGCGAAACGTTCCCGCCTGAGTTCCATGCATGTTGATAGATGGCATATATGTCGTGAGGGCGGTACAAGTGCAATCTCACCTGCATGATCCTGCCGGGGATGTGGTGTGCAACCGAGATGGCTTCTCGTGAGATCAGGGCTGCACGAACCATCACGAGAACTGAAGCATACCGATCAGCCCCATGTAACACATGCCATTGAGGGGTATTCCATTCACTTGTCATTCCCCATCCCGTTTCCTGGGCGATAATGATATCATATGGTGATCGATCACACCAGGCAAGCCAGCTTGGATAGTGCAGCGATCTTGAAGCATTCCACTGTAGCACTTGAAGATTGCCTGATGCGGGAGGGGTCGGATTGGATACCCGAGGGCAGGGGAGCTGTCGACGACGCTGTGCCCATAGCTGGCGTATTCGAAAGGGCACCTGTGCTGGGTACAAGGCTTTATTGCGATACATGGCTAGTCCGTAATCCAAGGATCGAAAACATGCTCGAGTATACGATCGTTTTAATCGGTTGCACCGATTCCGAGACTGGACGAGGCCTAAGCCAGCTGTTGCCCATGCCTCGTGATGTTTCGCCCGAGGTGGTGGAGTATCATGGACATGAATCGGGCTCACGCGCTCTCCTGAGGCGGGAGAGGCAACCCTCACGCCCGGGATGGTGGGTGCAAGCATAAAAGGCTCATTTCGGTCCATCCCGCCTAGACTTGGGACCAAGCTTTGCAAATCTATGAAGTTCAAAAGGAGGAGCGAAAAAATGGGGCTAGGCATGCTGCGGACACTCACAAGCAACGCATGGCACGAAAGTGGAAAAAAAGAAAGCCACGCCCGACGCTCCTTTCTTAATCTGCAAATGGCGCTTTTTAATAATAAATATCATTATATATCTATTTAATTAATATTCTCATTAATATTAATATTACTAAATTTATTCTTTTATAAATTTATATATATATATATTAATTATAAATATATTTTTTTTTTTATATTTATATATTTCCTATATTTATAAAATTAATATTACAATCCTTTTTATTCTATTTATTAATTAAAAAACAACAACAACATTAATTATTATAAAAATATAAATATTTAAATATCTAAATAATATATATATATATATCAATTATAGAAATATATTTCAATAATTTAAAAAGAATTATATATAATAAATACAAATTAATTATATTTAATTCATATTTAATTATTCAATATTTATTAAATATCTAAAAATCTATAATTTTATATTTATTTTAATAAATAATATTAATCTAAAAATTCTTTTTATTCAATTCAATTTATATTCAATATTTCATTATATATATATATTATAATTTATATAATTATAATATTTAAACAAATATGTTTAAATATACATATAATTATTAGTATTATTCATCAATTTATAATATTATTAGTTATATATATATTTTTTTTTTTGAATTATGTCCATATTTCCCGAAGATTGTTCGAGGCCATTCCTGTCGGCTTCGCCGGGCGAGGAAACCTGGGTTGTGAGCTTTGGCCGCTGAAAAGCCAGGATGAAGCACGGCAGATGTCGAACGCTCAACCCATATCAACCCATGATCTAGGTGATCGACTCCTCGCTGCTGCAATGTACCCAGCTACCAAAACCATCTTTTTACTATGATGCCGAGATTCAGCACCAGTCGACCTGGAAGATGAGAGATGGTCATCCAGAAAGATGTTTCTCAAAACAATCTGGGTTGCTTCGTTCTTCACATTTCTCTACCATGCTTCTCCAGGCAAGGCCCCCTTTGGGGCTTCCCCAGATTTCTGGACGTTGTAACCCCACTTGGTCCTGGTAAACCGCAAGGAAACGTCATCGAAAACGGCACAGCAACATTGAGTCAGCTCAAAGGCTGTGAAACAACATTGAACTGGGTGAATGGATGGATGGAATTGCCACTGCGACACTATGGGATGAGACGTGTTGGAAGAACATGGATACACTGTCACCTGCCAATCGAAGCATCTACTGGCTCACAGCAAATTTTCCCTGTGCCTGTGCGTGATTCCAAATTAGATAAGCTATATTAAACTATCATAAACTCAATCTACGGATGGCTCTTGCCTTTGTTAACAAGCAAGTGCTGCAAGTGTCAAGGCCAAGCAGGGTTGAACTAACAACCTAGCTACGAGTACCATAGCAGGAGAAGTTCACTGTTCAGTTCCACAAATCGTGAAAAAGTCCTGGCACCTGGCGGCTACCAACGCCAGTGTGCTTCTCTTTGGCCAATGATTTCCATCAAACTCTGCAACAAGTGACTAATCCTGCTCCACGAAATGATCCGTGATACGTCTGAATTCGGCTTCAGAGGCTACACCCATCCGCAGTGAGAACTTTGTCTTACCTCGGCGCACAAGGTTCGACCAACCACCCAAAAGAAATGGAACAGGATTATCGTGTACCAAAGAACCACCAAAGGATCAGTGTTTGGGGTACCCCAGCGCCTCCGAAGAGATCTAAACAGTAGCCCCTAGACAAGGCTGTGCAACCCCGCAAAAACGGGAATAAAATGGTATGATACCCTGCGATGGCAAAAACATGTAGGCAAACGCCTTTATAGTTATATAAGTTATTATACAGTAATATAGTTGACTAGTAGCAAGAAGCTACTAGTAACAAGTGCATCCCTACTCGTAGCAGACCCCTTCTGCTACTAGTTGGCTTCAAAAACCACCCCTACTACCACCCCTGTTGGGGTCTTCGCATTCCTTCACTTTGACTCCGGTCCAAGCTTCTGCCAGCGCCCCCAGGAGCCACCAGAGCGGGATCGTCGTAGGACCGGCGCCACCGACCGTCCCTTTGGGAGGATCGGTCACGGTGTCCTTGGTGGACGGGACGCTGGTTGCAGCGGTGTTTTGGGGAGGCGATGTGTCAGAACATCACACGTCAGCGGTGTTCGTTTCTGTTCTTCCACCATGTTTGGAGCTCATGCAGCAAACTCAAAGAATCAAAGAACAAATGCTTCTCCGCCAAGCTTTTCAGCTACAAGCTGGGCTTGACAACAATGTAAGTTTAGATGTGTTTTTGTAATTTAATGTTGGAAGTTAGGGCTGCTTGGAGCAGCTTGGATGACATGCTAGGATTCTGGTTGGAGTTTCACGCTGAACTGCATCAGCCCATGGCCTATAAATGATTAACAAGAGGTCTTAGCAACCTTGTTTCAGATGCTTTGTGGGTTTGAAGCAGGCACGGCCAAAGATTGATTCCAGGCGCTTCATAGTTCTCATCCACCAGTGGTACAACCAACGCATCTGGCGCAGGTCCAGATGTTGTCAGCACTTGAATCACCAGATTTCGAGCATCCGGCGGCACTGCCATGGGCGCCAGTCTCGCCATGTACACGTCCTCACCAGTCCAGAGTCGGAGATGGAGTTCACAACGGCGGCTGGAATTACTCTTGAGAATGTAGTATCTATTGTAATGATGATATAATAGTCTAACAGCTACTCTTGATACTACTCTTGAGAATATTCTGAATACTCCATCAAAGCACCTGCCACTTCCACTGCCTTTGGAGAATATTCTATTATATATCCGCTTCTGAGGATTTTGGGCTCCCTAGCTTGCCTGTCATGTTTCTGGGCGTTTGGGATAATTCATCATGATTTGCGACATGATTGTGTCCGCTGGTGGGCTCCGCTGGTGGGCTGCTTGGCTGTTCTTTTTTCAACTCAGGTCAACTGGAGCTTCATTGTACCTGCCCTCTATGACATAACTCCACAAACATACTGTTTTGGCTACAGAATGTAAAACCAAACCAACAATAAATAAACAAAGTAATATTAGAGAAAACAACAACAAACAGGCCAACATGTTGTTCATTCTTGATTTGCGTTTTGTGTGACTCAAAACTCCATCAGTCCGTCTTGCAGCAGCCGCTGGGCCAGAGATTTGAAGCCCCCCCCGAGGTACGGGGCGGCAAGGACAGGATGGGTTCCGGCTGCAAGGCCACGCCGCAGTCGTCGGCCCAGAAGACTTGGTAACGAAACCTGGAGGAAGACGGCGGTCTTTTTCTGATGATTACGAGTTACCTGTTTCCTCAATCAAATTAGTCAAACTTGAAACTTGTTGGTGAAACCTTGGGAAACTGCTTTGTGCGGAAGAATGAACTCTGGGTGTTTTCTGACACCAAAACATGGAATGACTTGGGAGGTTCGGTTTGTTTCAAGGTCTTCCAGGTAAAGAGACACTTACGAGAATCATCCGCTCGAGGTCACCAAGGTCACCCTACACTACTTGGATCTCTGAATGCCCCTGCCAGGTGATAAACTTGTGATGTTATGGGGATGTTCTGTTTTATTGAGTGGTTTTAGTGGAGCTGAGAGAGTGAGAGAGTCTGTTCTGGAACCTTGCTTGTCTAGAGGAGATCTCAGTGGAACTAGGGAACCATGCAACTTCCATTTCCCCACCCAGCCAGGTACAGCGGTCAGATCACGGGGTCCGGATGAGGGCGAATCCCTGGGCCCAGGGTGTGTTGTGGATGCATTTGGTATTGCCGTTGTGCGCGGCTCGTGTCATTGGTTCATGTCTGATTTTTCGTGTTTGCCTGGAGTGTATTGTCAGGTGTTGTGTGTTGTGCTTATGTGATGTTATGTGCCGTCGTTGTGTTCACTGATGTTCACTGTGTGTGTAACCCTTGGAATCATAGGGATCCTTTTGGATTTGTTCGGTTTGTCTTCTTACTTTTAGTTTTTGCCACAGTAGGGGGCTCGTGGACGCATGGATGGCATGAGCCAATGAAGACCCATCCATGTCGTTGTGATACCAGACCTGATCAGTCTGGCGTATTTGTAGTTTTGCTTGAGATACTTCATCATGGGCCCTGCTTCTAACTAGAACAAGATGTCTAGCTTTTGCATCGGTTTGCTCTTGGCAGTCATGCATAGGGCTTTGGTTTTTTGACTTGCAGATGTGAGCGGACGACGTCATTCTGTCGATCGATCGTTCGGGGTTTCTTTAGACTTTATGGCCTCGCTGAACTTGCTGGACCTCCACTTCCTTTAGGCTCCCTTACCTGTACCCTTAGGAATTGGAATCCTAGGCCGGCGTGTGGCACCGCTTTCAGTTCAGTACACCCTATCCTAAGTGTGTTTGGCCTCGTGCCAACCCGGGATGAGCCCGCAGAGTGCCTCCCGTGGACCCGTTGAACGGGTGTACGTCGTGATCTCCCCTGCCCGGAGATGTAAATGCCCAGAGCGGGCGAAGGTGGCCTAGGCCGAGAGAACTCCGATTTTGTCCCATTTTAGGAATTCCAAGCTGGCTTACGCCTTTACGTGACCGCAGCGGTCGAAGCAGCCAGCCATTTCGGCAAGGCACAAGGTGACCATAGCGGTCGAAGCCAGTTTTTTAGGTTCATTGGAACCTGTTGGAGCCTTAGTCTTTCAGTTGATCCACTCCCTCCTCTCGCCATGTTCCCTTCTCCGGCTGGTCTCAACCCCGTGGACGGCATCACGATGAGGGCCTAGACTATACTCCATCGAGAAATTCTTCACCTACATGGTTTGCTGATCCTCGCTATTTCACTCCTTCGTACTCGATTTGCTATCCTTTCCCCCTCCTTCATGGACTACATTACCTCACCACACCTTCAGGTGCAAATTTGAGGACTTGACTCGGCGATTCGCCAGGCGACTCAGGCAATTCATACTGGCGTACACTACATTCAGGAACTCCTCGCTACCTTTGGCATGATGCACGCCTTGAACTGCGACACTGCTCAACTGGACTCTGAACTACGTGGACGCTCGATTTTTCCTGACCCTCCTTCCTTCCGTCCCTCCTCCTCCTTTGGGCTCTCCTACGACTCGACGTATGACATCTACCAGTTCCACTCCGGCTGAACCAACGATCCCTCCACCGAGGACTCCTACAGGTTGTCCTCTACCTGGTATTGTGGTTACCACTTCAAACCGGACTCTCTCCACCGCCGAGTTACGATCCAGCATTATTCGTTCGCGCTCTCGGTCTCACCCTCGTATGTATTTTAGGAATCTATAAACTGGTCCATCGCTCATTGCGCCACTTATGAGAAAATGTCCACCTACACTTTGGTACTGCCATCTTGTTCATTTTGATTTGTGACACAATCTCTTGACTGAATACTTTCGACCCTTTTGGCTTTCAGCCTTCCCCACGCCCCACGCCCTTCCGGTCTCGTACGTTTCGTTTCGTCTCGCCGCCATGTCTACACCGTCTACGACGACATCGACTCGTCCTACGGGATTGGCACCAATCGCCGGCTTAACTCCTGCCGCTCATGAAGTACTTCATCGTGAACTCTTTCATATACATTCTTCTTTACATTTGATTCTCCTGATCCTACGTGGACCTTGGGATACCGTCACTCCATCCATTGTGGACACGATCACTAGTCACTAGTCCTCGTCTTCGTACCACTCTTCGCGCCCTTGAGACCAGCGTTGAATAGATTCGACGATCTACCTGCACTACACTGGTATACATGGATGAACTATGCTTCGCTTTGGCACTTCCACATCCTACTGGCCGCTTGGTTTCCTCTCCCAACTCCTTTTCTTCATCTATGGCCTTTCCTCGCCTTCTCATCTCTCCTCCTTCTCCACCCTCGACGACTACGACGACGATTACCACTGACCCCTCTCCTCCTCAGGTCACTCATACTTCCCTTCCTCCTTCGAATCCTGCTTTGACCTTGACGCGAATGCCACGTTCTCGCTCACCTTCTCGTTCACGATCCCCTACGAGACGATTCTGATTTTAGCTGGATTTCTCACTTGCCCGACCAATTTGGGTTTCGGCAGTACAGAAAAGAACTCCTTTTTCTCCGGACGTCAGCTTGATCACCACTTTTGGTTCTCTTCGACATTGATACTCCATTATTATGGGCTGTTCCATTGGTTCAGGGTCTTGCTTTGCAACCAGGGCTTTGGCCAAAACCAGTGTATCAACATGTATCAACAGTGATAACTGGCTCAACTTTGAGAAAGTTTGAAATGCTTGGAGGCCAAGCAGGAACCATGACCTTTGAATGACTGGCTTCACGGCCAAGTGGAGATGACCATGACAATGAAACTGTTGGCTTGAAGGCCCCACTGTGACCATAAAAGAAATTTGAGAACTCTTTGCTTTACCACTACATACCACTACTTTTACCTATTTAGTTGTGTGCACCTATTGGTATGTACCTACATACAGCATTTCTTTTAATGTTGCGTGGGTGTGTTTGTGTGGTTTTGGTGTTGCCTCGGGTGTTTAGTTTTTTCCGTCCGCAGGATATGTGACTTACGAAACAAACAAACTCAGACAAACGGTGACGGTTGGGTGGGAGGAGGCTCAACAAAAGCCCGCTTGGCTGCTGTTTGGGCTCGTGAGTTTCCTTTTTGGTTCTGGGGTTGGTTCCAGGCCTGGTGCGCAGCAACAAACTGAATGGATAACAGGGTCCAAAGCACAAACTACCTGCTTCAGGTGGTTTTGCCTGGCCTATAGAGACCTGATAGAGGCCAGTGTTTGTTCGGAAGCATCTTCCAAGGATGATCACCAAGTCTGGCAGGCAAGCCAGGCTTTGCTCTATGTCTCGTCAGGCCATAGTGGACTATCACAGATCCTCACCACTTCATAACTGTTGCGAAGACCAGGTTCCTTTGCGAACATTGTCAGGCGACTTCGGAGGACCGCTCGCGTTCACCCCTGAGATCCCTTTCACCGGGGACACCAGCTGCGACCCCAGTGTTTCTCAACCAGGGAAAACATATTGATGGATTGACCCATTGGCAAACACACTACACTCTATACATCCAATTTATGATATGGCTTTCCCTGAAACATACCTGTACATCATATCGATATCTCTATATATATATATTTCGGTGAGATGGGTCAATCCTTCTTGTTTGCGTGCCCTTTCTTTTCAATCCTTTTTCGCACCAGGTCGAGCGGCCACGATTGCTTCGAAAGGCCTATCTGAAGCAAAGTTCATCAAACCTCCAAATATGAAATACTTATATGAACGTCATTTTTGCATGGCCTTTGGAGGATGCCATCTTGGAATGGTCACCACTGCCCTGAACTTGGCAGACATTTCGGAAACAGTCATGTCTGAAACATGTTGAAACAAAGGTCAAGAACTATTATGGAAGAAGTCCAAAATCCGAATCGCCGAGCTGGGACCTATGTGTTCTTAAATGTTTTCTCCAGTCCAGTGTTTGCCATTCCAAAGACTGCGTCGCCAGGCACACCAATCTCGACTGCCCATGTGCACCCAGGCTGGATCAATGCGGTTTTGTTCATCCATTTTTGGGACAGTACTGAAATTGAAGAGCATGACATGCAACCAAGAGGTCACCGGGGCAGCCAGCGATCACTCAGACACAGATTCCGGAGGGGAGGTACCAACCTAAGTTCCGGCAAGAGTGTTGCTAGTTGGGTTTCATCTGGCTCAATTTCAGGCTGTCATGAGCGACTTTGCTCTCCTGGTGAACCTTCGAGTGATCTTCTTAGCCTTCTATGGGCCATCCCATGGCCATGACTTATTGCTAAGTAGTCACTGAGATTGGCCTAGGTCAAGGACTTTCTTGTGGCCAATTGGGCTTTCGAGCACCCTCAAGAAGCGCTGTTACGAGCTTGCTCTGTGATGAAGACAGCGGTGGACATGATTGAGCATGGAGAACAATCGGTCTGCTTCTTGGATGATCTTCTTATCCGGAAGATTTGCCGTAAATGCTAATTTTACTTGAGCCTTCCCTTTGCCAAGCTTTGAGGCGGGGTGTCTTGGCACTGGGAGAGCCAGGAGAGCTCGATGTCAAAATGCATTTGTTTTGAAATGGAGTGGAGTTGATCTGTTTGTGAAACTGCACTTGAGTTCAAACATGGTTGACAAGATTCTCATTGGAATGAGTTTAAACGCAGAAGTTGCTGGTCGCTTACTGTTTGCAGCTTGATTTTGTGTTTTGCCTGGGTTTCCGAACGGAAGCAATGCCGCTCACTGCTGTGGATAGCCTCAGTGAGTCCAAAC